CTCAGCTAGAACCCGGGCACTCCAGCAGGGAATGAGGATGGGACATCCCAAGCAACATCCTAACTCCCATGTCACACCCCACCCTCCCCTAATGCTTTTGTTCTGTTCGGAGTACTTGCCATTTACTGAGTTGGACTTTTGTCCGACTAGAAACATTCAAAACAGTGAAAGGAAGAGCAGATTAATTAATTATAGTGAAGCTAAGGTGAAGACCGTTAGTAGATACATGAGTAGAATTAACAAGTAATAACATATCATGACAGGATCAAATATCTTACATTAATTTTGAAATCATCAATACGTTTATAGAAATATGTAGTTTTCCCTCTTATCCTAGATATTATCTATTTTAGGACTGTAGTAATTTTAAAGTGTTGTTGATTGTCAGTTTTTGCTCAGAGCTGATTTCTATCTTAGTATGATCTTTAGAATTTCAACATTTCTGCCTGCCCTGATTTGGATCATTTTTAATCATTTTTTAAATGTTCAAGTCAAATAAAATTATATGTATGTATGTATAAGAACCTTCATCCACTACCTCCTAGGGTACCCATTAGCAGGAATCTGGAATCTGGAATGGAGCCAGAACTTGAACCCAGGCACTCCAAAATAGGATGTAGCTGTCTACCAGCAGTGGCTTCACCTAAGTGCACAAAGTGTCTGCCCCCTCTCTTATGTAATCTTGAATGAACCACGAAGTACCTAGTAAGTGACCCTTTGAACAATTGCATTTAATGTCATCAACTTCACATCTATACCACTCTTTCAAAAAGGATAGATAATATTCAGTTTTTGTTTATAAATGCTATCAAGTTAGATAAAAGTAAAAAAGATGATAGCCAGACATCACTATCCTAAAGCTCCCTAGTGTAATGGGCCATGCATGGTAAAGTTACACCCTTGTCTATAAAAAGGGGGCCAAGCTGACTCCCAAGGTAGAAAGGATTTTAACCAGCAGACCAAGAGAACGCCCCACTCAGCAGTCTTCTGGAGGAACAGTCCCAGCAGGATGAGCTTCTTGGTGAATTGCATCAAGACCAGGCCAGTGAGGCAGGTAGAGGGCTGTATTCAGTTGGGCAGGGAGCTGAGGTCTGCCCAAGGGAAGTCAAGGCCCACAAACACACACAAGTAACTGCTCCTCCCTTCTGTCTTAGATCATGGAATAGAGGTGCTTCTTTTTCTTTTAAAAAGGATAAAAATAATACATGGAGACTTTTAAATTTTAGGGTCTTAACATTTCTAGAGACTAAGATCCATCCTCAGATGGATCCTCTCAGTGGAAGCTGAGGATCCCTTCTCAGGAAAAAGATTCATATGCACATGTAGACAGAAGTTTGCAAGGAATGTCAAGCTGTCTACATCCGTAGCCTCTAACCAGACACCACAGCTCTACCTTAGATTGACATATAGAATAGACTTTTGGTGATATGGCCCCCTCTGTTTGACATTTCTGGGTTCTCCAGATTATTAAGGTCTTCCTTGCAGACTGTACTGTAGTGGTTATTTTTCTCCCCATCTGTGCCTCTACTCATTCCTTGCTTTAGCTATAATCCACCTAAGTTCCATCTCTTAAGCTGTCTTAATTCAGTCTGCTCCAACCTAGCATCACCACACTGACCCTGGTAGACAACAGTAAGGGAGAGAAGAGGACTGTGAACCAGGCTAATAAATGTAAAAAGCAAAGATTATGGGTAGAAATGGCAATTTCAGGTAGTTCCAAGACTACTTAATTAAGCTGTAGCAAAGCTGAAACAGAGGTAAATATTCGGAAAAATTAGGCTGTTAAGATGTTTCACTTATTCACAGTTCTAATCCTAAACAATCAAATATTTTAAATTTTTTTCTAGCTATGTTCATTTTTAAACTCTAAAGTGTTGTAATAGTGTAAGGGAATATCACATGGGGCTATGATGTGATGTAAGAAAAGTTGTACATCGTATGAAATGTCAATCAGGCAAAAATATGAATCTATCTAACACCTCTGTCCAGTTTATAGAATTTTAACCTGCATCAGGGTGGCATGTACCAATGCCATCTCACTAGTCAAAGTGATCAGTTTCAGTTCACAATTGATCATAATGACAGGATTAATAGTCAAAGGGATCACATAAACAAGACTAATGTCTGCTAATAGTAACTGAAAGAATTAAAAAGGAGAGAACAACTCAACATGGGAAGTGGGATACACAGCAGACTCATAGAAAGGCAGATGTCCTAAATAGCACTCTGGCCTCAGAATCAGCCCTTAAGGCATTCGGATCTGACTGAAGAACCCATGAGAGTATTTCAAGCATAGAAAGCCAAGACACTCTGGCAACAGAAAAAAATAAGAAATTGAAGACCAACCACAGCAACCTAAATGAAAGATCTCTGTGAGTGAGATCCCAGTGGAAAGAACGGGCCATCAAAGAATCAAAGAAGGAGGTACCTTTCTCTGAAGGGAGGAGAGAACTTCCACTTTCACTACGACCTTGTCTAAATATGATCAGAGTTGGCAAACTCAAAAGGCTTCCATAGCCTTGGCAATCCATGACAAGAACCTCGGGTGATTACCAACGCCATAAACAAGAGTGTCAACTGTTAAGTCAACAACAGGAGTCCCTGTGAACTTACTCCCCATGTAGGATCTCTGTCCTTAATGTGTTGTACAATGTAAATTAATGCTATAACTAGTACTCAAACAGTACTTTACACTTTGTGTTTCTGTGTGGGTGCAAATGGTTGAAATCTTTACTTAATATATACTAAATTGACCTTCTGTATCTAGGATCTCTGTCCTTAATGTGCTGTACATTGAGATTTAATGCTATAACGAGTACTCAAACAGTATTTTTCACTTTGTGTTTCTATGTGGGTGCAAACTGTTGAAATCTTTACTTAATGTATACTAAACTGATCTTCTGTATATATAGAAAATTGAAAATGAATCTTTATATGAATGAAAGGGGAGAGAGAGCGGGAAAGGGGAGGGTTGCAGGTGGGAGAGAAGTCATCGGGGTGGGGGGGAGCCAATGTAGTCCATAAGCTGTACTTTGGAAATCTATATTCATTAAATAAAAGTTTAAAAAATTGACCTTCTGTATATAAAGATAATTGAAAATGAATCTTGATGTGAATGGAATGGGAGAGGGAGTGGGAGATGGGAGGGTTGCGGGTGGGAGGGAAGTTATGGGGGGGGGAAGCCACTGTAATGCAAAAGCTGTACTTTGAAAATTTATTAAATAAAAGTTAAAAATAAATAAATAAATCCTTTAAAAAAGAATTTTAACCTCCAGATTTTCTACTTTTGCATTAACTCCTCCACCTATTAATTCCTTAATATTATCTCATTTTTTAAATGACTCTTCTAACATCATTTTAAATAAATCTGCATATTTAACAACCACCGCAAAACTCAAGTCAAATATTTTAAAAGGCAGACATATTCTGAGAATATTGAAAAAACATGGTTTGTTTTGTAACTTTAGCAACAATTGCTCTAGATCTCTTAAAATGTTACCATTTAAATATAAGAGTAAGGACATACAATTTCTTCATAAGCCAGGTGTATTGACTATTGTAGAATTTTTTTTTTATTATTATCTGTTGCCACCAATGTGATCCAGTGAGAATCTGGCTTTCAAATAAAATGTAGAAGAAAGTAGCTTGCTAGTTAATTAATGTGATGCATCAAATTAGAGTCTTATTTTGTGTTTTTAAAAATATTTTTGGTATTGCAAGCTATATGTTTCAGAAATATTATGATGTTGATAACCAACATTGATTCTTCAGACTTCCACGTTACATAATCAGAAAACCTAGGACAGAAATTTTAAGGTGTGGATATACCACTGAGGCAGCATCCACAGTGAATTAGATACCCATTACAGCGTGTTCATTGAGAGGGGATAGACGTGTGCAGCAGTGAAAGGAATGTAAAGGAGGGAGAGATGTTGTTGGCTGTTAGTTCACAATATGGACAGGCACTGTATGTTATCAGAAGCAAGAAAGGCCTGCAGTGGTCTCTGTTTGACCTTTTCAGTGTTACTCAGAATTTGTCCATTTTAAGTGCACTATTATGTTTTTGATAGACAATTTATAGAAATTAATAGCAAACTATAGAAAAATTGCTCTTTTTCTTCAATAAAAAATATGTTTGCTAGGAAGAGAAATGACATTCCCATGAAATTGAAATCTGTATATTATATTATATTATATTATATTTCAACTATAATTTTTAGTAAACTTTCCTTCATTTGTTGTGCCGAACTACGGTTACTAGTATTAGTAGGATTCAAACCTTTTTTTGATTCTTTTTTCAGTTTCTTTATCTGGCAAGACCACTGTGAGTTCCCAGTATCTTCAGGCTAGGCTATTTTTTTAAAATCTTAACAGCCATTTAACTTTTTAAACCTAAAATTTTATAAGACATTAAAATATAACAGTTTGCCACATAAAGAAATATCTTAGGAAGCAAAATGATATTGAGAGGCTTCAAAACAGAAGATCTTTGTGGGCATTTAAAATACCAAGAAATTGCAAGGTTCTGGTGAAGAGCAGGCTAGTTAAATTGGAGAAGTCAAAGCAAGATACCCCTTTTGTATTGATGTGCCATCTACTGAAAGCTAGTAGACATTAGTCCTAAGTAGCTAACGGTGAACCTCTGGTACCGACTTCCCTGAAGCACTGCAATAGGAAGAGGAAGAAGAAACTTGTAAAAGAAACCCTCAGGGATTCCCCTTGTGATCCCTTTAATCCCTGAATTGTCAGACCACATGGAAAATAACAGAGCTGTGTAGTTCTGAGACTTAAGTGATATTATCTTTTTAGAAGAAAATACCAGGCCTTTTTATATCTCTGGGAAAAAAGAGGTTATGTGTTCAGTATAGAGAAGAGTGGCCTTGAGTCTGATATATGTATATGTTTTCATTTTAATATATTGCTATTATTTATGACTAAGTAGGTTGCACCTGTAGGAAAAAAAATTATAAGCAATGTTTTATTTACCTTCCTTAAAACAGATGATTCAACGAGAAGCAGATGTGAAAAGCAAGGTAACTGCAGTGGCATTGACAGACTCTGTTCACAATGTGTGGCATCAAGAAGCTGGCAAAACCGTTCGAGAATGGATGAGAGAGGTGAGACTTGGCTTCTTTCAGTGCTGAGATGAATGGGCGTGAACCTTTATATCTTGAGCCTCCACCAATTTGTATCACCTCTCCCCTCTACCTTTCTTTCTCAAGGTAGAAGACTGAAAGGGAATCAAAAATACTAGATGTGGTTAAAATAAGCATAGAAAACCCTTCAGAAGAACGACTGCTCTGTGAAAGCACACCCAACCCCCTTGGCTGTCTATAGAATACTATGTACGTGTGCAGGGTTCGTTAGGAACTTTGGAGATTCTCACTCCTGATGTTTAGTGTATCCGTCAGCTATTTACATTGGTGCTTCTTAATCAGAAGAAAGAAGCTTGAAGTACACGCGTCTTGTGCTTCTCTCCTTGACAGGTGTCAGGGTGCACCACTCTTCAGTGGATTGGCTACTACTGCCAGTAGGGGGAGATGCAATTAAAAAGCTGAACTAGGATTGAGCCAGACCCTTGAGCTAGAGAAGCCAGGAGCTGGCTGAGGTCCAGCGTCAGGCTAAAGCTTCTGTCTGCACCTCCTAAAGACTGGCAAACCTGGAAGCTCACAAAGCTCACTGGACTGCTCCCAGCAGTTTTGTTTTTCCCTCTCAGACCATTATTTCTCTTCTTCCTATTGCAGGCACCTGGCTGAAATACATATATTTCATATTATATATAGAGAGAGAGATGTTTACTTTTGCATATATTTTTACTTTTACGTCATATATATTAACTTTTTTGATATTACAAGCAACTGACATCAGCTACCCCATGCTATGGTAATTATTTAGTCTGATCGTTTGCTTCCATTTATGTGAATGAGCTGGTTGACTTTCCTAGTTTTCTCTCAGTGTTTGTTATACAAGATCCACGTGTCCCTTCAGCTGACCACTCCCCATAGGATTGTGTAGAGGGTCAGTCCTCATTGTGCACTGTAAGGACCAGCGAGTTTATGTTGTAAGAGAACCTTGAGTAAATAGATGGATCTATGTAATCCCACAGTAGTGTTATAATATCACCAATCTTTGTCACTCTTGCTGCTGTTCTAGTCCTCATAATACCATAAAAGTAGAAAGCTGGATTTTTAAATCTGTTCTAACATGCTGGCTGCTTTTCCTATTTTTCCTTCCACAGTGTAGCTGCATTCTTAGTTGCGTTTTCCAAAGTTCTCAACTTCTTCAAAAGGAAATTTAGTGTACATTGATTATATTTTTAAATGCTATTTATGTGTCCAAATGGATACTTACACAGCTCCCAGCATTATCTAAGTAGTAGGATTACTAAATGAGCTGTTAGTAACTTTTGTCGTGTACTTATTACTATGGAATTTCGTACTTGGCCCAAATTAGAAACACCCATGTTTTCATCATTTTTTTTTTTTTTGACAGGCAGAGTTAGACAGTGAGAGAGAGAGACAGAGAGAGAAAAGTCTTCCTTTTCCATTGGTTCACCCCCCCAAGTGGCCGCTACGGCTGGCGCGTTGCAACCGGAGCACTGTGCCGATCCAAAGCCAGGAGCCAGGTTCTTCCTCCTCATCTCCCATGTGGGTACAGGGCCCAAGGATCTGGGACATCCTCCACTGCACTCCCGGGCCACAGTAGAGAGCTGCACTGGAAGAGGGGCAACCGGGACAGAATCCGGCACCCCAACCAGGACTAGAACCTGAGGTGCCGGCGCCACAGGCAGAGGATTAGCCTAGTGAGCTGCGGCGCCGGCCTCATCATTTTCTTAACTGGGAGTTTTTCATGTAAGTCTCATTCCAGGTGTGATAAATATAACAAAAAATATTTATATTTGCTTTTTAAGTCTCTCTAAGGTTGGATTTGGTGTCTCCTTCAAAAATCAGTGCACATTACTCTGCATTTTTCATTTAACAAAGATATGCAACAGTCAAATTTAATATTAATTTAATCAAAGCCCCCGTTTATTCCTCTGCAAGCATTGCTTTTATGAAATTTGTAAGATTTTATAAATGTCCTGGTTCTTGAATATTTCTGTCAGTTCCATCCATTATGCCTTAGGAAAGCAGCATGAAGAGTTTTGTATTCTGACTTAAGCAAATTGAAACCCCAGCTCAATCCCTTTTACCTAGCTGTTTAGTCTTAGGCAAGTTATTTAATCTCTTTGAGATTCAGTTTTCTCATCTGTAAAATATAAAACCCATCTGGCAAACATGATTGGGAAATAACATATGTAAAGAAATAGCACAGTTGTTGGCACTTGAAACAAGTTCTGTAAATTACACCTTTTTCTAGTGTTACCTTCTCCCTGATATACATGAACTATAAGCTCCTTTTTCTTTTATGAATTAGTTGCATATTGAGAATATCTTTCAAAAAGGAAGAATGACATACTGGAAATAATTTAGAAGAAGCAGAACTAAGTTTTGATGACTCTGGCTTAGTCACTCTCTAAGTGCATCAATAATTAAGGATATAACATTTATCAGCTCCATTGCTAAAACTTTTTGTCTTGGACCAGCGATTCCATCTTTGGGGGCCTGTGTCATAACTGTGAGTTAGAAACAATAAAATAATTTGTATTGCATCTTCTTCATGAACTACCTTAAGAATTAATTATGTGATGATCAAGAAGAATCCTTGAAGAGCCAATTGTACTACATAAAAAATGAGATGTGTTACTATAGGAAAATGAGATATATTGCTGTAATATCCCAGAGACAAACATTATCAGATTATTTTGATGGAGCTTTGAAACTATCCCTGCTCAGGGCTCTTCCTCAAAATGAGAACAAAAAGGGGAGGGTGTGATAGCCCACGTCAGACGCCCTGGGAATCCAACCATGTGTGTGACCTGTGGTCAAGAAGATTTCAGCGTGATGTGGCAAAAGAGGAGTCCAGTGTTTCCTCACACTTGGGATGAACCTCCAGCCCTTTCCTTTCTTGTTTTTTAGTCCTGACCCACTCTGCAATCTCCCTGAAATAACCAAGCAAGCAGCTCTGGATTACAGGAAACAGAAAGGGTTGTGTCCAGGAGCATGGGTGTTGGAAGAAGGGTGTGGATGGATAAACTTTGTGTCCCTCAGCCTCTCATTTCTCTGCCACCTCCTCCTCTCGCTTCATTTGGAATCAAAAAACTGAAATAGTTTGCAAATATCCCTCCCAAGAAAAACACCACAGGGATGAAGGTCGAAGGGGCCACTTTTGGCAATTTCTGAAAGTGAAACCTACTCCCAACTGAAAGACCAAGCGTGGGCACTAAGGCAGCCTCATGAGGAGTACAGAGTGACTGAAAGCTGCTACCAGAGGCACTTCTTCCTCAAGCTCCGGGTCTGTCAGGGCCTGGCAGGCAAATATGGTTTCCTGACTTGTAATCCTGCCTCTCAGTGTCCCCAGCCCAGCCAGCTGCTAGATTCTTCATGAGCAGTTGGAACCCTTTCTATCACCGTTCAGCTCACAGTGTAGGCCCTAGAAATGCAACTTGGTCCCCGTCTTCATAGCTGTGCTTGTTTGAGGGCATACAGCCTTCCATGGGAACCATCAACATCTATGGCAAGGATTCCTAACTCAGACACACTAAAAATGAACAGAAGACTAGGCTCAATCAGAGCAGCAAGCAGCTCCAAATACCTCCCAACACCCTGCATAGGAATAACTACTACCTACTTTCCTTTTAAGTATGATGAACTAAGCTCTAAGCTTTGTATTTAAAAAAACTAATTCATTTTCGATCTACCCTGAAAACCTGTCAGCCCCTTGGTTTACATGTCAGAGGTAGGTGCTCAGCACTGTGGCCTCTGGGCCCTTTTAATCTATATCATTAGCTCCCAACTTGGATTTAACAAAGAGGAAAATTTACAACCCCAGGAATCTGTGGTCGTAATCTCAGAATAAAAAGACATTTTGGCTGAAGACATTCAGCTTTAAGAAATGCTCACCACCTTGCCTGTTAGCTTTCCTTTTGCCTTCCAAATCTGAGAGACACTGATCGTGTGGATCTGTCCCCGTCTGCTGGCCCTGCCCCAGGGCTTCTTCCTCTGTGCAGGCTGCATGGTGATGGAGAGGGCCACAGGGCAGACTCAAGCCTGGCACTGCTGGCACCCCTGGCCCAAGTGCCTTGTTCCTACTCGAGACACCACAGAATAAGCACTCAGGGCTGTCAGTGCACTCCTTTCATGCTTTGAATTTCAGAAGGGGTTTCCTCCTGGTCTGCCTGTGTCCCCTCATGGGACACTTCAGTACTGTTCTTCTCAGCTGAAGAACTTGAGTAGGCTACAAATTGGGGCATTGAAAAAGAGGATAGATAAGGATTAGAAAGACTGTGAGAGAGATTTGTTTCCTACACGACAGAAGCATCTCAGAATTGGGAGTTAGATTTGGTAAGATGGACTTCGATCAGACTGAATTCATTTGTAATGGCTGTATGCCTTACATTCCTTATATTTTCCAGTTTGTTTGTGTTATCTTATTCATTGTGCTTTATTCTATTACAAACAGCTTCAGACTTCTGTCCTTGTCTCTCTCTATTTTTCCCATGTCATAAAAATGCCTTAGTACATGGCGCCTCCATACACAGTTGCACACACACATTCTTCAAAACTATAGTACCAAATCTCTGCAGTCCTTCACAGGCTCTTATCATTCCACAGAACTTTGGAGCATATTCACTTTCACTGTAGAGTGTTTAACTTGCATCTGATTTTTATGAGAGGGCAAAGCCTTAAACATCTGGCCTAGATAAAAACTGAAATTTCAAAATCATAAAATGTCAACCTGTATTTTGCTTTAAGTGTTTGAGTTAAGGTGACCTGTAAAAAATGGCCCAAAGTTCATTTTTTCCAGCTTTTTAAAGTCAATAATAAGTTAAAAATGATTAATCAACTGCTTATTATAATATGCCATCACTTTTATTAATACTCAAAAATCCTGTAAGACATGGTTTTACATATGTGAAGTGTAGGTGAGCAGTATTAAGACTGACATATCACCTGGGTAATAGCCGACTTTCATCAGATGTGGAGGTTACTAGGAGGATGAATAATAATTAAAATATATACCTAATCGCTGCCTGTCTGTTGGCAGTGCTAATTGCTGTCATTGAAAAGACTGAATTGTTTAAGAAAAAGATAGAGAAAGAGAAAGTCATTCTTCATTGAAGCTATCTCCCTGTATCATTGGGAGCCTATTTTTAGTACCTATAGAAGTCATGATTTTTGAATTTATTAAGGGCTGTGATGAATGATAAAACAAATCATCCATTTACATATCTTGACACTGCTTTGGAGAATACTTATTTCTTACAAGCAAGTGTCACATTGTATATAAAAGCTGGCTAATTGTGTGCTAATCTTCCGCATTATCTAGAACTCTCTGATGTGTATTCTATCAATGGTAATATTAATTTTACTTATTTCAAATGTATGAAATATCTTCTAAAACCCGGTTTCCTTTATAATTTCTACTCTCTCACATTGTATGATTTTGCATTCAGCTGCTAATTAAGATTAGGAGTGCATATTATAGAATATGTATCCACTTTAAACCCGTGAGCTTTTGTTACATGTCGAAAATACTAATATTTTAGCCATTTTAAATGTAAAAAGAACGAAAGCATTTAAGAACATTACTCGATGTTGTGTTTGTTTTCATGTTTTTTTCCCCCTACTCAGTTCAATAGTTTCATTGATCCACTGTTTCTTACAAAAATCTGCCATGCTTTGTGAACTTCACTTTCTAATCTCATACAGCAACCCTTCCTTTATGTTATTTCTGCTCTCCCTGGTCCCACAACAGTAGGGTTGCCTTGACAAATCTATTCAAAAGCCATTCCTCGGCCTTTATTGGTGGGGACTGGGGCCTTTGAAATTCTCTCCTCACTGCAACACAGCTGACATCTTCTTCCAGACAGAATGAATTAAGGAAATACAATAAGACACTTGATCTACCAGTCAAGGATCTTTCCATAGTGAGGACGGATTCCATGGTGCACAACCAGGGCAGCAAGCATCTAAAAATACACAATACATGCTTGTTTATCAGAATAGCAATCGCCGATTTTTCCAACATGATTGATGGGATGATTTCTTTTAAAATAAAATCTGTCTGGAAATTCATTGTGTATGTGTGTCTTTGTGTGTCTGTGTGTGCTAAGAAGTTTTTTTAAAAATCATGTGACGTTAATCACATTTTTTAAGCCACACTCCAACCACAGCCTTAAAATATATTAAAGGGATATAGACTGTTTTTACTTCATTGGTCTGAATTGTAAATCATCAAACCTTAGAAACTGATCTTTAATATTGAAGGCTTTGTGTCCTCAGACACACAGCTACAATTCACCAGGTTGTTTTCCTTTATAACTATTTTCATACTGCCTCCATTGAAGCAGATCAAAGTAAAAACTAAAAGAGTATATGTGTATGGGCCAGATTTGAGAAATACATACAACATACAATGTAGTTCTGTAATAGAGTTTAGAAATTAACTATTCCTTCATGTGTTCAAATAAATAACTTTTTCCACTCAAAAAGTAAAAAATGGACACCTTTTTCCAGTTTTCCTTAACTATGATGCTTTTGTTTATTTCTTGAAAGTATATACCTTCTCTTGAAAGTATATTGCATCATGGTGCATAGAAGGTTATGTGCCATTTAAAGGTCAGCACAGATGTATGCTGAACCGTAAAAGATAAACTTTTTTTCAGAATCATGTTAGTCTTGTGTAATTACTAAGTGTTTACATAAGAAAAAAATCTAGGTGTATAGAAAATAAATTGAATATACTTGCAGTGATTGATTTTATAGTGTAAATTAATCTCTCCAGCCTAAATATTTGGAATTATCATGAATTCTGTTTCTACAGTGTTGTCTTTGTTATATTACAGAACTGTTGTAACTGGGTCTCTAGCTCAGAACCATTGGATACCTCAGTGGAGTCCATGCTGCCAGACTGCCCCAGAGTTTCTGCAGGTATGTTTTTGATGCGAGTATATGGTTTGTTGTTTGTTTGTCATTTGGGTTTTTGTTGTTGCTGATATTTTAAGGCTGAGAATATGTTAAATGAGATGTAGATTCTATTTTTGACTTGTTCTGCCTTCAGTTGTTGGATGAATTATTGATAATGTACAGTATTAGTCCAATCTGCTATCAGAAATTTGTTTAGTTTAAAATGCTCACCAACAAACTCAGTGAGATAGACAGGTGAAACAATTCAGAATTAATGCAGACAGTTGCTGTTGGAGCTTATGGAGGTGAGATATACATATATAAGTACCTGAAAGACTGAGTGGCCATATGCTGTTTGACTGGAAAGTTGTCTGTGATTGAGTTCCCACTCATCAAGGCTATTGTGTGGCCTAGAGTCTTTAGAAAAAAATTTGGTCATGCAAAGATTTTAGCCAGTATTTGTGTGTTAAGATTTGGATTGTAGAAAGACAGTCAAGATGGCCTCATAAGAGTAAGGAGCAAGGAGCAAGGACGGGAATGGATCTGAAGATGTTCACAGGGAACAAAGGCACGACTGGCCTAACTGTATGGGAAGGAAGGGAATGAAGAGGTGGGTGCCTCGCAAAGCAGTTGGGCTCCAGGAAGTTTAGAGATGGATTACTGATTTCCAGCCTATAGGATTTTTACTAGAGTCTCTAGGTAAGAGAATAACATTTGTCATTGCTTTCTGAGTTTGACTTTCACAGTTCCCAAACAATTTGGATAGTAATACAAAGTGAGCGGAGGTATCTGGTTATGATTAATAATCTAAAATGGGCTTCTGCCGGCGCCACGGCTCACTAGGCTAGTCCTCCGCCTTGCGGCGCCGGCACACCAGGTTCTAGTCCCGGTCGGGGCGCCAGATTCTGTCCCGGTTGCCCCTCTTCCAAGCCAGCTCTCTGCTGTGGCCAGGGAGTGCAGTGGAGGATGGCCCAAGTCCTTGGGCCCTGCGCCCATGGGAGACCAGGATAAGCACCTGGCTCCTGCCATCGGATCAGCGCCGTGCACCGGCCACAGCAGCCATTGGAGGGTAATCACAAAGTGATCCAGACAATGAGTAAAAACCAACTGCAAAAGGAAGACCTTTCTCTCGGCCTCTCTCTCACTGTCCACTCTGCCTGTCAAAAAAAAAAAAAAAAAAAGTAAAATGGGCTTCTTCTGGCTGTAGATTCTGGAGAATGAGCAGAAGTTTGGAACACAGGCTACTCTATGTAATGATGATCATGACAACTTAATCACTAAATAAAATTGCAAATATGTAAAGGAAATCATTCAGATTCCAGGTAAAGCATGCTTATTATAACTAGATGTCACCATCATCAATATATAAATTTCAGCTGATCTGCACTATCATTGTAGCTAAATTTTATAGGTTAGGTAAGGGTTCAGTCAGAGTTATGGACCCTCTAGGGGTAGATGATACAATATGTATACATATATATGGGGGTTGTGGGTGTGTGCAGATATACAATCAGTTTTCATTATTACTGTAGTTCTGTTCTGTGAAGTTGCTGAGGGCACCGAATTAGCAAACACTGATTCATTGCTCCTAGGGGAAATACAAGGTTGGATTCCTGTGAGGCTCTGTACACATTCTTTGTCAACCAGTCTTTAACCTTTTTATTTAAAGACATCTTACTTAATATGTGTGATTTATTCCCATTAAACTCTTGGCCAATGGTACTGCAGCTCATGACAGAATAAAGCTCACTGAACACATACATTTTCATCATCAGACACATCACAGCCTTGTTGTGCTTGGGAATACTTCAGCACTACATGTGGGGGCCATTTCAAACAGTGAAATCACCACAAAAGCACAAAATATGAAAAATATAGCAATAAGTAATCTGTGCGAAGGATAACTGTTCTGCGATATGAGAGCTGAAACAAGAAAAGAGTATGGCCTTGCTTCTCCTCAACTAGAAATGGTGACTCAAATTTTTTTGCCATACTGTACATAGCCTAATCTGTAAATGATGGCAAAAGTGCCACGAGTATTGATTGTGGGGTTGCAAACAAATTTTGGAGAATAGGTGAACTCACCAGTTTAGAATCAACAAATAAGGAAGACAGACTGAGTGTCAGAAAGGATTTGTTGCTGGTATCTGACCAGAGGTGGTTAAGCAGTCTGCGTAAGGATATTGACTTTACATCTCATGCTGGATGGAGCTGGAGTCACAGAGCAGGCAGGTGCTAGGGGAAGATATTGTAAAGGGGCAGAGAGCTGGAATGATCTAGAACCCATAAGCAGGAGCTGGTGTTCATGAAGAAGGGAATGGACTTTAGCCTGTGTCAGTTCTTACTGCCTCTGTCTTTGATTTCTGTGCATGTACTGTAGCAGCCTGTGCCATGTCAGGGAGTTAAGCATACACACACCTGCTCCAGGAGTCAGAGATGCCAGAGCTCTGAGGATCCGGAGGAAGGTGGAGCAGATGCCATCTTCGCTGTTGCCGGCTGCCACAAAGTGATCCAGACAATGAGTGAAAGCCTGTGTGATCCAGAAACGGCTTGCTGCTTCACTCTTTTTTAAAAAAATTTTGATCAAAAAACAAGACTTGTACATTTTTATAGGGTAGAGTGCAATTTTTCAACACTTGGACATAGCATAAGCCAACCCATTCAGCCAACCAGCCTTTTATTTCCTTATCTTGTCTTTCTGTTTGGAGCCTGCCGGCTCCTCCCATCAGTTCCTTATACAGTAGGTAGCACGTCGCTGTGAGCCATGTTGCTCCACTGTTCTGTGGAACCCTAGCACTTGCTATTTTGAGCTGTGTAGTGGTACCTGTTATTCACCCTTCCTCAACTCCCACTCCTCTGCCCTCTGTAGTTTCTAGTAGTCACTGTCCTGAGTTCAGCAGGTCAACTTTTTTTTTTTTTAACTTCTACATATTAAAGAGAACCTGGAGTATTTGTCTTTCAGGGTCTAGCTTATTTCACTTAACATAGTAATCTCTAGTTCCATCTGTTTTGCTGCAAATGACCAAATTTCATTCTTTTTATGGCTGAGTAATATGCCAGTGTGTGTATATCCCACAGTTTCTTTATCCATTCATCCATCAGTGGACACTTAGGTTAATTCTTTATCTTGGCAATTCTGAATAGTGCTATAAGGAACAGGAGAATGCAGCAGTCTTTCAGCATATTTTCGTTCCCTTGGCTTATATTCCTCATCGGAGGACATTGGGTCATATATGGTAGCTCTAGTGTAAGTTTTTGATCAACCTCTGTATGGCTTCCTTACATAATGGTATACTAATTCACATCTCTGACAGTAGCATTTAAGGGTCCCTTTCTTCTGCATCCTTGCCAACACTTGTTTTTTGATTTTTGTTCATATCCATTTGAACTGGAATGAAATGATATCATTGTGGTTTTGATTTATGTTTTCATGATGACTAGTGACACTCAGCATTTTTTCCATGTATTTGTTGGTCATTTCTGCTTGTTTTTTTTTTCTGTAAGAAATATCTGTTTAGATCCTTTTCCCACTTAATACTTGAAACCTCCAGATGTGGCACTGGTGTTGTGCCACACTGGGCTAAGCCACCACCTGTGATGCTGGTGCAGTTTGTGTCCCAGCTGCTCCACTTCCAGTCCAGCTCCCAGCTAATGGCCTGAGAAAAGAAGCAGAAAATGGCCCAAGTGCCTGGGCCTCTGCCACCCATGTGGGAGATCCAGATGAAACTCCTGGCTCCTGGCTTCAGCTTAGCCCCAGCCCTGGCCATTGCAAACACTTGGGGAGTGACCGAGTGAATGGAAGACCTCTCTCAGCACACACACTCTCTCTCTTTCTCATGAATAAATCCTTTTTAAAAATAAAGTAAACCCCAAAATGTACCTTGCAAAAAAATCCTTTTTGTATCATCCAAACAAGAAACATACAGGAGGGGTTGGTGATGTGGTATAGCAAGTAATGCCACCACTTGCAACACTGGCATCCCAATATGAGGGTCATTTCATATCCCAGCTGCTCCACTTCCAATCCAGCTCCCTGCTAATGGCCTGGGAAAGCAACGGAGGATGGCCAGAGTGGTTGGGCCCCTACACCCACATGGGAAACCCAGATGAAGCTCATGGCTCTTGGCTTCGGCCTGGCCCAACCTTGGCTGTTGCAGCCATCTGGGAAGTGAATCAGCAGGTGGAAGACCTCTATATCTCTCTTTGTGTCTCCCACTCTCTGTAACTCTGAATTTCAAGTAAATAAATAAATCTTTAAAAAGAAAGAAAGAAACATATAGGAAAAGGAATTCTGGGAAATATAGTTCAATGTAGCCAAAATGACACATTAAAAAGCTGCCACAATCTACCCCTTGCCAAGTTGGCACTTGTTTAGATCTTGAAACAGATTTAATCTCCCAATAAAGTCATGTGTCTCCTAACATGATACAGCTGTCCCATGTCCAACTGAACACATACTTTTCCTTTCCCCAGAAAAAAAGTGCAAAGTCCCTTTATTGTTCTTGGCAGAGTTTCGTTCTTCTCACCTTTGATATCTTGAAATTTAAATACTGAAAGATAGAATTAATTGCTATTGACGTATCTTGCATTAGATGATAAGTGTATAAGAGATAAGATAAAAAAAGTATACACACACGAACTCTTCATATTACAATAGAGAAAAATACTATTATATTCCTCATTTTTGCATCTGATCGTAGTTGCAGCTGATCTTTATAACTGAGTTTGAGTCTGACGGGGAGAATTGATAGGAGGCTGGGTACCCACGTAGGACTGTGAGGTACCCCCAGCCTCTCAACTCATCACAGGTTCTGGGGCTCAAACCATCAATGCAGAGCACACATAGGCAGCAGGCCCTGGGCATGTCTACCTCTCTGTGGAAAGGACAGGCTAGTTGGGGGAAGCAGATCATCTGCAACCTGTGACTGTGTGAGCCTGTGTGCTGAGACTGTGGGAACTCTGTAACTACACAAGAAGGCACAGGGTATAGCTGGGTCTCTGGATGGTCACTGTGTGTGGTGCCA